CGTGACAAACTTCTGTAATGTCAAATGATGCTGTTGAATCTCTTACTATTGCCAGCTCTTATTAGTTTTTTCTGTTGATTTAAGTTCTCTTTATCAGGGAAAGATGCATACCATAAGTCATTTTTCAAAGACTTGACTCATCCCATATGTGAAGTCTTCTTTCAATTTGTAAGCAAAAACTATGCTTATGAAACCCCTTTTGTGCATTAACTAACTKTCAGCTATCTTGATTCTTAAAATAAGATTTGGAATGCTAAAAGATTACAGATGAACTGCATTAAGGCTGATATGATCTCTAGAAAGACTATTACTRGAAGYGTGTGTAATATTATTATCTCTGCTTTTCTAGATTCCCACGAACGGAACTGGATTGATTGAGTATCGATGCCACCCATTTTGGTCCCATAAATATTGTCCTGCACACGAGAATGATAATACACGAGAATGATATAAGTACTTATAAGTTATATCTATATCCCTGTGGTTTTTTCTGCAGTCGTGTTAAATCATCTGATAATATTTCATGGTCAGATGACAAATTGCAGTTTACTTTTCACCAATGGGAAAACATCCCTGCCAACGATGAAGATCACGTGCATCTTACAAAGGAGCTCCTTGGAAGCTGTGATAGCATTGAATGGCAGGTATGTTTACTTTCGAAATAAGACTAGGGTGGTTGTGCAAAAATAAGTTGAATACATACTCACAGCAACTCTAAATGGGTGCTAACTARTTAACACCATCTCTTCTAAGCCTACGTTCATTCCTTTACTATCTATGGTTATTGATTGCACTTACATGTTTCCATGTTTGATCTCTAGCCAATATTACACATTTATGGACCTTCCTCAGTGGAGTTTTTAGTGGTTCCAATATGATGATCATCATTGTTATTGGCCTATCATAAATGCATTTAGTTTTGTTTCATGAATGTGATAGGAAGGTCGATGAGTTAGAGAAGACAATTTCGGTTGCAGCAAGAGATCCTGCATGGTTTGGCATCAATGAAGTTGAGCTTGGAAAAAGAAGGAGATGAACCAGCATTGCCCGGACTTAGGTTCTTTATGTACCTCATAAAAAGATTTTTGTCAAACCTACTTTGCTTTGCTTTTTACCATCATTGGTTGAATGTACATTTTCATGTTCCTTCTCTTAAACACCTATATAATTCTGTTGAATTTCATTATTGGATCAGGTGGGAAATGTGAAGAAAGCAGTGGGTGGGAAAGACTTAAATGGCAAAAGCATTTCAAATAAGATCGGGGAACGCCRAGWACTGATGAGGGTACCACATTCTAAACAGCAGGAKAGAACACCTCAGTATATTGCTGGAGAGAATGATGATTTCATCTCCTCTGAATCAGAWAGACAAATGCTTCTCATAAAGTACATGAATTACCCACTTTTCCTTTCTTTTGGTTTTCACTTGCATGATTCTCTGTATATGTTATCTACACTTGTTGACATGGAATGGGTGGATTSTGGCCTCAGTTATTATTTTTTATCCCCTCCATTTCACTAGAATCTTAGTGTTTGACTTGGCTCAAAAATCAATAAGAGTAMYTGATTACCCTTTACGAGGACAAATCTCATAAACTAAAATGAGCACCAAGTACTTTGTACTGGTTACATGGGGGCAAATTGGTCGTTTAACTTGACAATGGCGCCCAAGAAAGAAAAAGTTGTTGTTCTATTGGGGACTGTGGTATTGTTATGTGAAAAGGATGGTAAGTAGTCATAGCAGACACTTTGTAAAGCATATGTTGTATTGTTGTAATATTATTATAGATTACACTATGTCCTGTTGTTACGTTCCTCATTTGTATATGTGAGGCTTTGTATGTTTCTGGCTCGATTTTAGTTATAATGGTTTATTTTGTTTAATCAGGACGATAAGATTGCAGTGATTGTTGGCACAGTTTCTCTTTAGTTATAATGGTTTATTTTGTATGTTTCTCTGATGATCTCAGTTTATTTATAATTAATCTTTTTAAAAACAACATCTTATTTAGTTAAGAGTGCATAGCTTATTGAACTATTTTTTCTAAACATGTTTCAAACAACCAAAATACCTGCAAAATTTTGAAAGAAAATTATTACAAGCACAAGAAAGTAAAAAAACCCTCTAAAATTGCTTCAAGTTTTTATTTTCATTAGTGCTTGGTTGTGCTTTCTTTACTGGTGGCATTGTGCATTATCCAAAAGTTTAGCGTTTCAACCAGGTAAGTCATCACCATTTTGAATTTGATTCTTTCTAGGAAAGATGATCATGGTATGGTGGAGATATTCTTGAATTTAGATCCATGTAAAAATCCAGCAAAAACAAAAATGGAATCCCTCATTTGTGTCTAATTATGTTTTACAGACAACTGCAATAGTTAGCTCAGGGCTACTGTTGATGGCTGTAATTGGCATACTCTTTCCAGCTGTGCTTCATTTTACACACACAGAAGTTCATTTTGGGAAGTCAGAGTTGACACTTTCAAGATTCAGCAGCTGCATAATGTTTGTGGCATATGCAAGCTATCTCTTCTTTCAGCTTAAAAGTCAAGCTAATTTGTATGATTCCATTGATGAGGTAGGCCATCTAATTTTAGAAGTGCTGACTGTTGATGTCAGTATGAGATGTAATAGTATTTATGTGTTCCACATTCCAGTCGTATATGGGCCTTTGCTTATTGGATCTCACCACGTATTTCACAAGTGGTCTGTTGCTGAAGAAAGTTTAATTTTTGCTCAAAGACCAGGGCTTCATATTCTTTAAATTTTCATTTTTGAATTTTGATAGAGTTGTGAACCCCAACTTTTTCAAAGATGTTTTGCAAAAAATGATATCTAAGAGTTGAATATATTCTTATAGAACCTTTACATCCTGCCGCATTGCGTGGGTAGACAACTAGTATTACTTTAAATTTAAGATTACAAGTAATTATAAATAAGTACAACTTATTAAAGCTTCATGTTTGAATTCGTGTAACTA